AGAAAGGCGCTTCAGGACAAAGCAACACTGGAACTAAACCAGGTACATCATTCCTCATGCTTCATGTTATAATGCTGTCTGCCTCAATGGTGTATGAAAATCAGCTGTTGTCTTAGGAACTTTTAAAATGCTTAATGCTCTTATACCTCTCTTACTGTTTCAGTCAATACTGGTATCACTGATCGTATTCAGTTAGGCTGGAATTCCTGATTTTTTGCAAAGAAGCAAAACCAGAAAAAAAAAATTCTACTTTTATTTTAGAACAGCTTAGGAATGAGGGTTGGAAAGTGAAATAAGGCAAGAGAAGCCACTGTACCTGCATCTGTGCTTGCATGAGAATTATCTGTTGCAGGCAAAGATTTCAATCTTTTATGTAAATGTGCTGTTGTTCAAACATTTCTTCACATACCATAAAGTATGCTGTATTCTGTAATCTACTTTATGCAGTGGACAGAAGTTTGTTGTTGCTTCACCATACCTGATTAAATCCACTGTGTGGATTTAATTCACTATTCACTTACACAGTTGAAAGTCTATGTACTAAAATGTTTAGTGTAGTCCTTAATGCTTAATGTAGCATTAGATTAGATATCTAAATTCTGCCTGTGTTGCAATTCAGGTACACAAGCTTAAAGTATGCAGTTAATAAGGAGCTTGTTTAGGTGCCTGTGAAATAGCATAGGTACTTGTGTTGCTGAAGATGAGGCACACTGTAAGCACTCACTTCTCAAATCCTTGACAGCTTGGCAGCTCAGTGATTGGTTTGTACTGACAGACTCTTCTCTGTCCCCAAACTGGGTACTTCAGCCAATGTCCCCAGAGGGAAGCAATCCCACTACTGTCTGTGTTCAGATCACATCTCTGTCAGGCAGAGCTGGATCTGTCACAAAGCACCATATTCACAGCTATTCTCAATCAGAAAGGCAATACGGGAAAGAAAAAAGAGAATGGAGGTAACATTACCCTCTTCCATGGCAAGCCAGAACTCTGGTGATGGACAGTGTTCAGTATCCACTTTATCCTGCAGTAGCTTAATCCCAGTTTTCAGTTCTCAAGAAAGTGTCCTAGCTTCTCCTATGCTCTCTTCATCTGTTCTGGTGTGTAGAAATGTAGAAAATTCCTTGGCCTGGAGAGAGGGAGGAAACAGGCAGGTGTGCAGGGTTTAGCTCTGCACTCAGCTGGTAAGAGTCCGTGTTGAAGAGAGAGTTTCTCAGAGCTGGTGGTTTGTTGTTTGTTTGAGGTTTGTTATTGTTTGGTTTGTTTGTTTTTCTTTAGATTGCATATGAATTTCATGTCAAACGTTTTTGGTTTAAAAACTAAACCAAAGAGTTTGCAGCAGGAGAGACAGCTGTCACTATAAACAACGTCCTTATTGTCTGGAAAGTGTCTACAGGCTGAACAAATATTAAGAGTCCAAGGCAACTCTGCGTATATACTTAGCAGTGCAAAGGGAACTGGACAAAAGGAAAACAGTTTGAGATCCAAGCAATGCATCTTTTCAAATAATACTGGCTTACCTTTCTTTTTTCCCTGCACCACCCCTGTGAACTAATGTACAAACTGGCTGTTGTTTTCCATTTGATATCCCTTTTACTTTCTTCAGCATAAGAAATTAGCACCCTAGGGGTCAAGGTCAGAAGGGCATTGCAAAAAGAGAATGAGAGAATTATAGATGAAAATGAAGAATACTAGTAGTCTGACTTTTGAAGTCACACTGAGCGCAGATGATAGGTACCTGAGCCACAGAAACTGGCCATATGTACTAAGTACATATGACAGTTACTAATTTAGCAAAATTACAACCTAATTTCTACAAGCATCAACTGTGCTTAAGAGTTCATTGAGAATTATATAGAAGATTTAAAAAGCTTGCATTTTCCTTTTTTTAATATAATTAGGAACAAAAAATGACTGATATTTCAGTGCTGAATTTCTGCAAAATACTGTTCATGGCCTCTAAACTCTTAGAAATGAACTAGTAAATTTTTAAAAATACTTTTGAACTTGCAGTCAGTATTGTAAGTTTATGGAAAAATACGCATTTAATTTCCAGAAATAGGTATAAAATTAATTCCCCCTCTGTAGAACTAATATGGTTTATTTAATCTCCAAACATAATACGCATAAAATTAAACATTTGTTTGTTACGCTCAGCAAGCTATTTCACTACAATGACTTGAGTTCACATGCATTGCATGATAACCAGACTGCAACTTCTACAACAGTAGAAGTCTTTCTGAAGTGTACTCTGTAAGGCTTTGCATATGCCCAGTCCTCAATTATTTCTGTAAGAATTGAGGAATTCTTGCAGGAGTTTTTTCAAATGATCTGTTTCCCATCTCCTTGTGCAGCACCTTAAAGCTATTGCCCAATGACAAATGTGAGCAAGACCAAAGTACCTTGCGTTTGTCCTTGTATTCCAACAGAATACAAAGAAATACCAGTCCCACAGGTATTTGACTGGTGGCTTGTTAATGAGCAGAGATACGAGAAATAAAATGGGGAGCAGGCCTAGTGATCTTTCTTGGTTTGCCACAGCTTGAAGCTCTTGAAGCTATGTACTGGAGGTGTCTGTAATCGGGAGGATTCAGAATGCAGTGTCGGATGTTGGGCTTGTAGCCAAACTTTGAAGGATCATTTTCAAGGCTTAGAAAAGACATTCTAAATAACAGTAAGATTTGCACCAGTAATGTGTGCTGCAGGTCCTAGTAGAGCAAAGGCAATGCTGGTCTGCTACCAAGGTGTTATTCCCATCTTTGTGCTAATATTGATTTAGCTCTTTGTGATCCCAAATGTATGCAAAATAGCTTGTTACTGAAGACATACTTACACTCTGCATAGCCTGCAAGTTAGTGTGAATGCTTTAGGACTGTTCTAACATCCTGGGATGCTGGGAGAGGGGCTGTGTGTGTGTGTGAACACTGTCAGGTGTGTGATATAGAAAAAATAATTGGATATCTTCAAACACGGCAGAATGCAGAATGGCAGAGGGCAGTTTTAAAAATTTATTTTATTCCTTCTGTTGCTTATAATTAGGAATTCTTAAGGGATACCTTTTCAATTTGCCTGTCCATGTAACCCTTCTGCCTCTTTGAAGAATTGCCGCTTCTCCCCAGTAGGGAAATCTTTCTTCTCAAGAAAGCAAAAAAAAAAGAAAACCTTTCAGGAGAATAGTACATTCTAAAAGAAGCAGGATTTTATGTTATTCCCCAGTGTCTCATCATTCTCTGTCAACTCAATGTTACATTGACTTTGCTGACAGCCGTTGAAGGGAATCCTTGTTTTCTAGGGGAATTTATATTAGATGTGAATTTTTCCACTAGCAGTAATTACTCATGCCACAGAAATTCACGTTTTGTGAATCTAGTGTGCCAGCCATGAGACAGAAGGAATATTATTACCCTTTTGACCTGTGTCTGCATGCTCAAGAGACTGCATGTGAGTCAGCACACTTCTTAACATCAGCCAAATGTTAATCTACACCATACATGGGACATATCTATGCAACAATATGACTCAGTATAGTTTCATGAACAGCAGCACTGTATGCTGTTCAACCACCATTAGGGGTTTGATCTGTAACTGGGTGATGGATTACATTTGTCTTTGCTGGTGACTAGTTCACTTGTTGCACCTTTCTTTGGGGCTATCATGTTTAAATGTTCTACTAACTATGCAGTGGGTTTTCGCATTGCCACTCTTGCTTTGCATTGCTAATAACACCAATAATTGGGTCTGTAGTCTGACCATTGTTGAGATGATAGTTTTTCACTGATGAGAGTTCAAGACTAAGTAAACTGAACCTAGTCATCCGTGAACTCGTTCGTCCAATAAATCCTGTTATCTTGATGCAGAAACTTCTGTTAGAGTATGAAATGCACATTACTATTTTTTATTTTATTTTTTTTTTCCCCTAATTCAAGCAACTTCAAAATCTGTCTAGCACATCCTCACTTTAGGAATTTATTTTTGCAGATATCTTTAACCTCATTTTTATGCCCTATTGTATTATTTTGCTAGTAATTTTTTTCATAGTTAGTCTATACACAAATAGGCTGACTTTACATGTTTTTACAAATTGCTTACTTGTGTATTAGCACTGAATTGTGAAAAGGATCTGTTGTCTTGGTTTTATGTGCATTTCTGTGGTGACAGTATTCTTGGTAGTTCTTTATCTTGAAATAATCAAAACTTGAGTTCCCCTCAATATGAGAATAAATCTGGTCATTTCTTTATGCCCGTAAATATTTTTGATTTTTCTGTGTGGTTTTTTGTTTACTTGTGGTTTTATTCAAAGCAGACTTTTTCAGTACTAGTGAAAAAAGCTTAAAATTAACAGCTTTCCAAGTTTAACAGGACAGGTTAAGGATAAGTAGGAAATTATTGCCAGCATGGTGAGATGAATAAGTGACTTGGATATTGTTCCCTTGTCTGGGACAGCTCCACTCTGAGACTGGAAGCAGAATGCTAGTTACTCAGCGTTTTGTTGTCTTCCAGAGAACCCACTGAGCAAGTGATGTTTTTCCAACTGAGATTGAACTTTTACAGCCATGCCTGGGCTCTGACATAATTTTTTTGGTTTTCGGTGGGAAAAGGATGCTGCATTATAGTAGAATTTTCTGTGGAAGCATTTTGGAGAGAAGTTATGGAATAATAGACATTATTTTCACATACAGTAGTTTCAGAATGCTCTCAAGCTATCAAGGTGTTACGGGCTTGGAAACAAAACAGAACTTTCTTCACAGGCAGTAGTCTTGCAAGGAATTCAGAGTTACAACTTAATCCATTCTTTGGGAGCATTTTACATCTTCATGATTAGAATGCATTCATTTTCAATTTTATTTTTATTTTTTTAAATAAGATGGATTTCTGAAAATGTAATCTATTTTGAAAGCAGAGTAACTAGAGTTGTTTAATGGTCCCTTCCTTAAAAACTTGTTTATGGTACTATTTGATTTTATGCTATATGCTTACTGTTTTCCTCCTTCCTCCATTTGTAGATCATCCAACAATACTAAAGGTTGATGACAGGCAACGGCTTGCTAGAGAACGAAGACAAGAACGAGAAAAACAACTAGGTAAGGCCTACTGTGTCAGGGGGTTTATTGTTTGGGGTTTTTAAGGCACTACCATTTGCATGCAGTGTTTTTTTCCAGTTTACTCTTAAGAGCATTCAGCAAACTGTTAGTGCTAGATATGCAATAATGTCATTCTAGACACACTACTACATCTTTAAAGTAGATCTTTTTAAATTCATGCACATCTTGGGATTCATCGTTTCTGTACCTGTCACATTCCTATTTCTTTTGTGAATCTGAATGAAAACTTGGTTGATTTCTCAAATAATGCAAGGAAGCGTCACTGTTGTAGATGGAATTTGAAGTTTTAGAATATTTTGTCAATTAAGATTAGACTACTTAATGTTCTGAATGCATCCTGTATTGCTATTAAATAGAATTGCAGAACATGTCTCCAACGTATGGTTTGAATGTTTCTGTATAAGCTTGTTTTTTTGCTAAAGTTAAAACCTTTAGTAGGTGTCAAATAGTTGTGCTGAATATCTTATGTCACCTGCGCATAAGCATGTATAACACTGTTCAGGTGAACAGTGAAGGTTACATAAAAAGTGGCTAGTGGTGGGCATTATACTGAGTGTGGCAGCAGGAGAATTATAGAATTATGTGAAGCAAAATTGATGGCTTTCTGAAAAGAATGTTTGGTTGAAACAACATTCTGTGGCAATTGGGAGGTTGGGGAGCCAAGTATTTATTCTTTTCTTAAATTCACCCTGATTTTTTTGCATGCTGTATTGTTCTTATGGCTTGAGAAACTGAGGTTATTTGTTTCCATTTTATAGCTTATGGAAGTTTATAGAACTATATCATAACTCCAACCAGTTACGCTGCTTTTTCAAACCTGGAGAGCCATGATTTATTGCCATCTAGGTTTTAATAGCATTAATATCCAGCACCTTAAAACATTGTACTAACCATGCATGAATCACTAGGGTTGTTCTGGAGGGGTAAAGGAAAGATTTGGTTTTCACTTGCTCAAGGGGATAACATGGCAGGATATTTGCCAGTCCCTAAAAAGCTGCTCCTGGAGTTGAGGCTAATGGTATGTGTAAGCTTAGTTTCTTCAAGTTCCACAACAATTACTGGCTCATTCTAATTAGTTTGTCACAGGTGATGTTTTCATGTCTTGAAATTATTCTCTTTTAAGGTTCAGTCCTTGTGTAGTAACAATGCTTTACTCAAGTGCAGAGAGAGATGCTTTTCTTAAGTTCTCCTGAACTCTAATTATTCTAGCTATTGATAAATGAACATCTGTTACTGGAAGGACATGACTTCCGTTGAGAAACATGTCATTTTGTGTGGTGTTTTGAAAGCAACATCAAACTGTAGGGTTTTTTGAACTTGACATAGAATCCTTCATTCCTAAATGGGAGAGTTCTTCATTTCCCCATGATGTATGTGTGTACTGTGTGTTCTTGCATGAAGAATTATTTTGAACTAACAAGAAAATGGAAAGTCGCGTTGTACTTTGATCTATATATTTGTCTGCTAACATTATGATTTAGGAGCTGTCTCCTGACATTTTTTTTTTTTTATTCCAGTACAGCAAAACACTGATTTTTCCAATGGCATGCAAGCATTTTTTTTTTTTTTTTTTTTTAGTGCAGAACCTAGATAATCAGTCACTCATGTCATGTGAACCATAGCAAAAAAAAGCCTCAGCTGCCTATCTTAAACATCAAGTTGTATAATGTTGTTACATAAATGTGCCTTGATGAAAATTAGAGTTGGATTTTGTTAATACTGGGACATCAGCCATGCAACAGTAAAGCAAGTGCAGGAAGGGTTTTTTTCTTTTTTATTTTTTTTAATAGCAGTGAGTTGGATTTAAACTTAATTCCTCTCATTTTAATTCAGGGGACCTGTCAAGTTTAGCAAAGGCTTCTTTTTAAGCAGAAACTGAGAATTTCTGACATATCTCAAGTGAAATTATTTTCTCTTTCTCCCTCTGAAAAAGACAGTGTTCAGTTCTATAAGTGTAGAGCTGGTAGTAATCTTCAACAATTCTTTGTACTTTCAGCAGCTTGAAGCGCAGGAGGTCATGTTATCCATCTTCCCATGAAAATTAGGTTGTTCAACCCTTCTGTTGAGATCATGTGGACTACCAGTTGAATAACGATTATGTTTATTAATTAATATTCTGATGTTACGGGAGGGTTAATTTGAGATCTGTTCCCCCCACCCTTTTTGCTTTCTCTCAAGTTTTAATTCTTTTCAAGTTCCTGTGCTATGATAAATGTGGCTTGCATTGTGATATAATAGGTCAGTATGTGCTCTGTACTCTTTGAGGATTTGCTTGCACCTGGCAGTGGTATTCTAGTAGTCCTATTCCACTTACCACGCTTGGATGTCTCTTTTTGATGAGAGTTTAGAGTGTAGGAAAGATGAGTGCTGTCATTTTGATTGTCTGGGTACATGTAGCGTATGTGTGGTGGCACTGTCAGTATCTGTGTTTCATGAGGGTCATATTATGCTACTAATTGAAAAGAATAAAAAGGCTTCTAAAAAAAAAAATGCCCCTTTCACCGTAGTACATTCATGTCTAGTTTTGGAACTTTCTTTAGAAAATGTAGAAGGCACACAGGGACATGTGTGCTATTTCAGCTAATCATCCCATCAAGAAAAGACAACTTTTTAGTTCTTTCTCAGTGGGAAAGGCATTGCTTTTGAAATGCCATCCCAAAACTTCCGAAAGATTAATTCTTTGGGGTTTTTCCTGTGCAATTCATGTTTTCCATAACTAAGAAGTTGTATCAATTTGGGGGTTTTACCTTTTATCCTTAGACTTTCCTTTTCACATGGTCAGAAATAAAGGAATTGCTTAGCAGCTATACTTTGTTTCTTATTCCCCTGACTGTTTGGTAATGTGTTTATTACTTGTTGAAATGTGCATTCAGACCTTTAAAGAATTATTAGAGTAACCTTTCCTTAATAACGCTTCCAATGTGTCACTTGCTCTTTAGAAATCATGTTTTCATTTTGTGCTGTTTGTGCTAGCACTCCTTTCCACAATGTCTATGCATGAAGTTAACATCCATCTTTTAAAATATGAATATCAGATCTCTCTGTGTGACATCAACCCTCCTGGGTTTTGCAAGAGAGGAATCCCAAGAGAGGCAGCACTAGGTGAGGGTGGTAGCTGTCAAATGGGGCTGCTCTTGGAGGACAAAGTGAAGTGAGCTGTCAAAGTTTTCCTGGCTCCAGCTTGGCACTATGGCTCCTTTGCATGTGTCAGGCTAACTGGTTGTATTTGGCACTGGAGATACTATGAGACATGCATGTCAGAACTGAGTAGTTTGTGAAGGCAAGCATGGTAGATGGCCTGATTGAACTGGAGAAGTCTAATAAAAGCTACTGCTTGATCAGTAGCGGGGCTTCACCCTTAACTCTGCTATACTGGTTTTATCAGTACTGGCAAATTGAACAGTGCTGAGAGCATTCAGTGGTGCTGAAACTCTTCTGTTCTTGCTATTAAACTGCCCTGATGGATCCTGGCAGGGAACTGGCTCCAGTTAACTAGCTGTCTCTCTGCTGATTCCCAGACAAGGTTTAGGAATTGGCGGGGGAAGCCCATGGGCTTTTCCTCATGTGTTGATTGACTACTGTCATCATTTTGGAGGGTAGAAGTTTAGTAGTACAGGTAGAAGTTGTTCTATGCCAGTTGGTCTCTGGGCATGTTCTATCTATTAGCATAGACCTGGTTCTCTGTAACTGCAAGGAAAAATCAAAATGCGTTTTTCAACAGGGAAAGTTAGTGGGATTTTAAAATGGGTGTTATTCTGGTAGCCTTAGGTAGTGGCCTAGCAAATAGAAAAGAGTTGGGGTTTGGGGATTTCTTGGTTTTACTTCTCAGTATCTCAGTCCCTGAATCTTGAGAAAACCATTTGAAGTTTTTATATATGTGTATGCTTTACCTACACTAATCCTGCTTGAAGAGTGACCTTTTTTATCACCATTATGATCCTGACAAGGACACATGGCTCATTTAGTTTCTGGCATTGGGAACAGAAGATGGTAATCTCGCCATCTGACTTAACTCTTCATTTAAGGGAATGTGTTATTAATCTTAGTTTTTAGAATATGTCAGAGTTTCAGGTTGGCTAGCTCCATTAATTTCTTAATATTTACAATGCATAAGCATTAAAATAATATTTCAAAGATCACATTATGATACGTATTCCTCTCCCATTTGAAAGTGAGCATTAACAAAATATCACATTAATAATAATTACAAATTTTTCCTGTCAGTGAATTCCTTCTGGCTTATTCTCTTCTTTGGCAGATGGGGACAGAACTTCATCTATCTAACATTTCCACAATCAGAAACTGGGAATCAGTGACCCTAGTATATGAATTATTTTGGGATGTCCTCAGAGGACTTGAGTGCTAGAAGAGATTTTATGACAAGAAAACAATTTTTAAGGAAGATTAGTTTAAAAAATTCTGTGCTGAATGTCTCTCAGGGCATGGTTACCAGAGAAGGGTTGGCTTAGAGAATCTAATATTAACTTCAGCTTTAATTACACCTCTGAATTTCACCTTCTAATTCATTCAGTCAGCTATTGCTATGGAACATCCCCACTTCTAGGTATGGCTAAAGCATCACTGATCCGTTTTTCTGCTAGCACAGCAAGGAGACAATCACAGCCTCAGACAGTGCACAGCTGGCAGTGAGGAAAGGTGAAACAATGGTCAGAGGAGAAAGCTACTGCTGAGGTCAGTGCTGTAAAGTCAGAAAAGGTAAAAGCTGAAAAGGTTGACAGAGACTATAGGATCTTTATTCAGGTAAGCTGTCCATCCAAGGTGGATGCAAAAGGCAGACTGAGAAAGCATGGTGTAGGATCATCTGCCTTTATATAGGCAATAAACCAGAAGAAGAAGGGTGGAAGTGAAGAGAGCAGAAGGAATGGCAAAAGAGGAGCTGGGAGGACATCCATTGCTTCACATGGCTAAACAGAAAATAGAGGCTTTGACACTTAATGCATGCTCCCCCTTCCCTCATAGCTTAAAACCATTGCAAAGAACGGTGCTCTGTCTATGTGCATGTCTGGGGAGAGCAACTACAAAATTATTTCCACAAAAATGTGCATGATTTGCAGGTACTATCTTCCACATTAAATGAGTTTGTTCTAGTGCAAAATTCTTTGGTTTCAAGTTTTACGTGTCTCTTAATATTGGAATTTTTTTCCTTGATCTTTTTTTTCCTTGATTGACCTTGTTTTCTTTTGCTCTGTTATTCACTTAAGTGGTGTCAGAAATACCGTCTTAATTATGTTGCTTTTTAATCTAATCCAGCACTACTAGCTTGTAAACAAACAGAAGGTATTACATGTCCAGAGCTCAGTTTCTAAATCTTAATTTTATGCTCTGATATCGTGTTCTTACATCACATTAGTATGTTTGGATTTATAGGTGGTACTAAGTAATGAAATAGAACAAGGATCAGGCTGTGACTTTTCTTTGTATTTTCTAGCTTTACTGTAAATGTTGCTATGCCATTTAAGCTTTCAGCATGCAGGTGCTATTTGAGCCACAGTCAAGCTTTCTTTGAATGATTCTTGCATTTTGTCAGATAATTTATATTATTTCAAGGGAGATAAGTATCACAAAGTTGTTGAAGCATTTTGTTGGATCGTACCTGTACTGGCGTCCAGCATTGGCTCAGCACCAGGTGTAGGTATTAGTGTAGCTTCCAGAAGAGCTATCATAAAACTAGATATTTTCCCCTTGCACATCCTGCAAATTGCTTGCTCTTCCAAGCTGACTGGACCTTTTAGAAGGATCTTTGGTCTCCTGTAGGCTTAGCTGCTGATTCCTTCTATCAGCAAAGCATTTGATGTATGTGTTGCTCTTAATACAGCTTGCTGTGCTTCTAGAAGCACACCTGTGTATTCAGAATTGGGCTTAATTTCCCTCATTTTTACTTTAGAGTAGGCTTTTTTAACCCTTGAGTAAACTTCAGAGTTTTTTACCCTAGGATACAATTTGTTAATTTCTGCCAAGTGTGGCAGGAAAAAAAGTTTCTGCAAAATCATAAATAGGGACATGAGAATGAAACAAAAATGGTATTTAAGTATTTCTATTTTTCTTGAAGATATCATCTTATATCCAAGGACACTAACTTACGTCACTGTATAGAACTACCTTGTAGCTGGCAAAAGCTGAGCCCTTAAGTTCATGCGAGAATGTCAGTAGTGCATGTAGGAATCAACGAAAAAAAAAAAGCAGACATTCTCCACTGATGCTGTCTCTATATGTATCTGTGCAGTGCTGCCTGCAAAAGTGAAACAAACCCTCTAAGCATTTCTGTATGAGAGTTGAAACATAACAGTGAACTCAAATAGGAAACAATTGTGAAGATGAAAACTAGCAGGAAAAGCTTCACAGGAAGTTAATTATACAGAAGGTACAGAAGGAAAGAGTAATATCATATCCTTCAGGAGCGGCATTTAACAGTTACTTAATGTTACCGCAGTCCAACACTAATGAATTATCATTTCAGGAAAAAGAGGAAGAGAAAAACCTAACGTGGAATTGGGGAAAATTATTAACAGTATTGTGTTGTTCAAAGTATGTTATTAGTTAAGTTCTGTTCAGATTTGGTTTTATGAAGTAAAATATTTTACCAGTTTAGGCCCATAACCTCAAGCTCTGAGTGTCTGTTTCCTTCCTTTTGTGTCCTCATGAATAACAATCATGATTTCCCAGCTGTTGGTTCAGCTAACAATCCAGGTGCTGAAATTGACATCCCAGCCACTTCTATCATAAGAGGTCTGTATTGATCAGTAAGGGTGGTGATTAGTTTTATCTTTTTAGCTTTTTTTTTTTTTTTTTTACAGTAAAAGATTATGGAGAATTATCATGGTTTGTACAACAGAAGTGTGTTCACATACATCTGACATACACATTTTAGATACTTTAAACTAACAAAATTCCTTTCTTCCAGATAGAAATGGTATGTTCAACTAATTTAGCTACTTCTGGTGGCAATTCATAGTAAGTAAATTGAGATTAAATGAACGTGTGAGGAGGGTACATGATGTTTTAATACATGAGGAGAGATAGGATATGCATGTTGTCTTAAGAAAACTAGTTCAAAAATTTTTTCATTTAGCTTGGTTATTCAAATAGTATTAAAGACTTCATCTTATATTGCATGTTAATATTTTTCTTGCTGATTTTTGTCACAGCTGCAAGAGAATCAGTCTGGTTAGAAAGAGAAGAGAGAGCCCGGCAACACTATGAAAAACACTTAGAGGAACGCAGGAAGAAGCTAGAAGAGCAAAGATTAAAGGAAGAGAGAAGGCGAGCTGCTGTAGAGGAAAAGCGAAGGCAGAGATTAGAAGAAGATAAGGTAAGAATGAATGTCATGAAAAGACTTTCACCATAAGGTACAGTACTGTTTCTCTGAGAGCTGATGCAAAGAATGCAACATAAGCCATGGTCAGTATGAGAGAGCATGCAAGAAGATTTTAAGCCTTACTTGCACAGATACTGCTTCTTGAAGTGCCCTTTGTGAATTGAATGCAGTTAAGATGAGCATCTCTGAGTTACGTTGTATGAGTCTGTGCAACGCCATATAGATAAATATACCTTTTTATTGGTTTTGTGTGGTTATCTGTTCATTCTTAGTCATTCAGTATCAAGGTAGCTAAATTTTAGTTGTCCCTAACAAAACCTTTAGGGAAGCGAGTGTGTAATGAAATATGCTTGTGACTGATTTGTCTCGAGTAAGCTGGTAACTACATGCAGTGTAGCTCATGCTCATCCTTTTGGGTTGGTTTGTTTTGGGGTTTTTTTTGTTTCCTATCTCTGCTGCTGTTCTAGTATTCAGTAAGTGAGAGATACAAGGTAAGAAGTGTCCCTAAACTGTGTGTAGTGGCTGCCATAAAATGCCACTGTTTTTTCTCTGCAGTTCTGCGGGTCTCAACCAGATCTTACCTTTCCAAAGTTACAGTTAATGTTTTAACTTATGGCTCAATTGCTGCTTAATGCTGTTCTAGTGTGTGTCCTAGTAGGCAGCACATAAGCTTGAGCACAAGTCCACGATGTCCGTGAGGTTTTGTCCATGTTGAGGGTAGCGGGTTTGAAGAGAAGATTAAGTTAAAAACCCAATAGTATCCAAATGTATTATCCTATTGTACTTAAGGAACGACATGAAGCTGTTGTACGTCGCACAATTGAAAGAAGCCAGAAGCCAAAACAAAAGCAAAACAGGTGGTCCTGGGGAGGAGCACTGCATAACCGCATTAATCACACAGGTAAAGAGAGAGGCTTGGTTTGCCTAGCCAGTTTCCCTGCCCTGCCTGTTAACTGGAATTTACTTGCTTCTGTTAAAAGGAAGGATGATTCAGTGTTTGCTGGTTTAAATTCTTTGCTCTTGATCATCATATTGCTAGCAATGGCATGTTTCTGGCATTCTTGTGTAGCAAAAAGGTAACAAAGAGAAATCTGAACAAAAGTTGAAGCTTGTTTCAGGAGTTGACTAATTCTCTGTCTTGCTACAGCTTCTCGCTTCTGCTGCTTTGGTGTTGTTTGTGTAAGTGTGGGTGTGCTTGTGCTGTGTCAATCTTGTGATATGAGCTATTGTGTGCAAATGCTAAATATCATGGCTCAAGAGATAGATCTGGTGGAAATAACCAAATACTGAGATTAAAACAGACACAAGGAGTAAAAATTATTCTTTGTAATAAGCTATCTGTATTTTGCTCTGGGAGATAGAAGTTCCTTTTGTCCCCTGTAAAAACTTAAAAATGGGCAAATTAAGGTTAAGTGAATTTTAACTGCAAACTCTTTTCCCCAGTTATCTTCTCTAACTTAACCTGCAAATCATTAATGTGTGTATGCCCTAGTAAGTATGACTTGAGTCCAAAAAGAGAACTCATCCTTTACTTCTTTCACCAGAAAATGGTACTTAGAATTCTTCTCTTCCTGCTCTAATGTATACATTTTAAGGTGTCCAACCTTTCATCAAAGAGGGAAAAAAAAGTTAAGGAAAGAATGCTCTGAAATCTGTCATATATAAGTTCAATAAACAGTTATTTCTCATAGAAGGTTACTTTTTTGCTTAACTCTGTATGACTTATTTGATTTTTTTTTTTCCTTTAGTGTGAAAAATCATTGTCTTGCATTCTGTCCCTAGGTTATTTTTTTGAATCATCATTCACCTTTCTCGATTTAGCAGGCCTGGAGCACCACTTCAGATCTCTGGGTGGTGCTAGAAAACCTGGTACATAATTGCTGTGGTTTGTTGATTCCTTTACACATAGCTAGTTCTCAGGAAATGAGATCATCAGTAACTAAACCACCCTCATGTAGTTGCAATGCATGCTTAACATCATGCTGATAGATTAGAACTGTTGTTAGTAGCAGATTTTCTCATTATTATTTCTTTTTACTATGGAGAGTTACTACTGGCTGGCTCTAAAGATTTGGCACAATTCACTGAAATGAAGCATAATATTCTGTCTTCTGGAATTCAGGGAGACACAATTTGAATATTTTGGTCTATTCTAAAACCCTTTTGGCATACTGCATATACACAGGATTTATGATTATTTTGCACATGAGCACAAGCATATAACCAGCTGCATTGGCTGATGTGTTGCTCATGGATATTTTAATTGTTTTTTTTTAGAACAAAGAAACCAGCAATCTTCTAGGCAATGGATTGCATTTGCCCTGCTCTACATTTATAGGATTTATATTGCCAACACCTACACACAAATCCTCATGCTAAATTTCAATTCGTTTAAATAATGCTCATTGACACAAGAGAATTGTTGGCATGCCAAATACAGGAGGTGATTTTTTTCATATTGTCATTTTTCATCTTCAGAAACCTGCTTTGTGCATGAAGCATATATCCTTTATGCCAAATGTAGAAAGTTCTTGCCTGCACTGGTATGCTATGCATTTTCTCAGCTATAGGTTAGATATAAGAGATCAAAATCTCCATCCTATTCCCACAGATACTGTTCTGACAAAGACCTGTGGCATGTGAAGCCTGAGTATCCTGTCTCCAGTACTGACTTGCTCACAGCACTCTCAATATACCACATAGATCATTGTGGTATATTCTTGCCAGCCTACAGGGGCCTGTTTTAGCTATAACATTTTGATTTCTCCTTTTAAAACCCATTTCTGAGTTTCATCTTCCTTCTAGTACCCAGTTTGCTAGTTCTATACCCTATGGAAATTTTTTGTATACAATGAGTATACTTTAATCCACTGTCTTAGGTTCTGACCCAGTAGGTCAGAACAGATAAATACAATGCTGTTGTACTTGTCATAGATAAACAATTGCATCTTGTCTGCTAGTATCTACTTTAGATCCTCCATTAAGTCCTTGGATTGCAACCTGAGCAAATGATAATCAATGAACAAAATATTTTAGACATTTGAAACTTAAATCGTTTTGTGCCCAGTCTTTGAGTCACCTGTACAATGTCTGCTGAGAAGTCCATTCTATTTTGAAAGTACTTGTGGTAGAGTAGGAATGGCCTAGTCATGTTTTTCTCCTTCCACTAGTGAGTTAGGAACTTGCACTACTGCATGTGGGCTGTCAATTAGCATTATCTCCATTTGTTTTAGATCCAGACAGGCGGTCTGTTTCAACAATGAACCTTTCGAAACATGTTGATCCAGTCATTAACAAGCGGCTCTCCTCCTCATCTGCAACATTACTAAATTCTCCAGACAGAGGTACAGTTTCAAAGAAAAAAAAGAAAAAGAAAAAAAAGGAAAAGCTAGAAAGAATGTTCTATATTGATGTATTACTTTGCACATAAACCAAGCTTCTGAAGTCATTTTCTGTACTTCATCTAAGTGGGAACGAAAAGACTTCAAATGTGAAAAGTAAATGGTTGAACATTTTTTCTTATGAGAAGAAATATATACTTCTTGGTTTTTAAAATGAGAACTTACCTAAACAATCTTACTTTAGCAAATGATAAAAGCAGTGCTTCTGTCAGGTCTTTAGTAAATGAGGTACAACTATTGAAAGAATACATCGCTCCATAGTGCATGCAAGTCATGTGTGACCTTTTATTTGCGTTAGGCCATTTTGTCATTGTTTTGTTTTCCTTCCTTCCTTGGTAGTAGTTCTTGAATATCTAAGTACACATTGCATGCAGCTTTCAAGCAGTTATTTTATTACCATTTCTGATTATTTTTATTGAAGAGGCATGCGTGTTTTTCATATGACCTGTTTATTGACTTTTTTATGTCATTACTTTTCAAAGATTATTTTATTTCAGTGTATGTTTGTGTTGTTTACAAGCCTGCACAAATTATAAACCATCAAGCTTTTGGAAATTAATGTAGCTGAATTGCTGCCTCTGTTCTGAGGATTTATGAGATTGAAACACTGAGCTTAAAAGAGTTTTATAAAAGAATCTCTTGTATAATGTGTGCAAAGAGCTTTACAGAAAAGTGTTTGGTAGGAATATTTCATCCTCTGCAGAGAATAAGAAGTTCTGTCACATTTCAATCCAGCTAAATACAGGTTTTAAAAAGCAATTTCTAGAATGGAATTTTAGTTCTGCTGCAAAACTGACTGATAGATGTCATTGTTTGTGTGCCTTAACTAAGGGCCATGTTTATGTGCGTGTTTGTATGTGTGTATCTGGTTGATTTGATGAGCCATGTTAATCCGAGTGGGCTAACCTAGTTGAAGAGTCTGGTAACTTGCAAAAAACACAGCATTACATTAGGAAATAATTTATTCCAAAACTCCAATGATGTTTTGCTCTAAACATTGAAATCCAGTCATTTCTATTTCTCCTAGATTTCAGGTGTATATATTTTTCTGCAGTTGGTTTCTGTTCTTTGCCAGGGGTTGCTTCTTTGAGAAAAGATCTTACCAGGGGAATGAACAGCAGCAGACATTAAATATGTAGTCTCTTATGGACTGTAACTCATTGTGCTATAGTTTCTGCCACCCATTCAAACACAGAAGTTAGACTGAATACTAGGCAGCGTAGCAGTGGGGAAAGGGAAGGAACATGGAAGAAGTGACGGCCATATGTCAGATTTGCTTGGCATTTCTATTAGAACAGCACAGAACTCTTAAGGAGTCCTTTATGTCTTTCAAGACTCCAGGACAGAAAGCAAATCCAAACACTCTAAGTGCCTTCTTTCTTGTGCAAAGTCGTATGCCTAAATCTAGTTGAGCATGTATCTGGAGAAGTGCCAGTGGTCTTTTCAGTGGCCTCAACATCTTCAGGCAAATGCTTAAAGAAAGGTTCTCTCTGCCCCCCATTTCACCTTCCAGAGTGCTTTCAATCACACTTTGTGTGTAATGCATGATCCTACCTGCAAAACAGTGAGCTGGAGATGAGGATGATAAGCTTACCCTAAGTGGCTTAGAGCTGTCATCAAGAATATGTCTTCTGTTAAGCAGCACCTTTTTACCATTTGAAGGACAAGAATTATTTTTTATTTTGGCCCAGCAAAAGATAAAAGTTTTCATTAACTAATTGCCTAAAAGAATGGTTAATTCCTTTTCAAATATAGTATTGCTATATAGCTCTTTATCAAATTTTATAATCGGGCAGCTTCTCATCGTGCTTTTATGTTAGTGGTACAGGTCTGAGTAGTTGAAACTGTAACAGAACATGAACACAGGTATTCAAGTGGAAAAAACTGCTGTTGACCAATAAATTTTGGTGACTGTGCTCTTTAAGGAAACCTTTTCAAATGGATAATACTTTAGATGACGTATGAGTTACACACTTTCTTAGTTTTGAAAAGCAAAATTTATACCATAGTTGTGTTCCTCCTCTCTACAGTGCTTTTCCTTTAAAATAGGTGAAGGTCTCAACTGCTGTATTACTGTTGTTTACTGCCTCCATGGGAGAAATTCAGGGGCTCAAGAATTGTTTTCTGTTGAAGGAGAATCTAAGCATAGAGTAGTTTTGCCCATCTACTCCTTAGCATGTTTGTGGCTCTGTATGAGCAAACACCACTGTTCTCACTGGTGTCCCCTTCATGGTGCTCATCAGGAGGCCTGTTCAATCCCTGTCCCCCATCTGTTCCTAGGACTAAGCAGATGCTGCTGTTTGCTTACTTGAAATTTATTGTGCTGCTACTAAGATAATTTTCCAATGTTCAGTTAATATATCCTGAAGACAAATATAGATGATTGTAATCAATTCACTGTTGCTAGCTCCCTGGGACTTTGTGTGTTTTTCAGTTAGAAGTTAGGCTATATTTAATCTGTTTAAACTCATCTGCTTGTAGCTGTGGCTGGGGGTACTTGCTTGCACCAGCAACCCTATAATGACTGGGCTTCCTGCATGGAAACAGGGAGCAAGCAGCCCAAAGAGTGATGGCCTAACACAGCATGAGAATAAAAAATATTGTTTCCCTTTGTCTATCAGATAGTTTGAAGGACTGAATGTTGAGAACACTCCTCAATCCCCCCTGAGGCATTAAAAACAAAAGGACCAAAGAAAAACATCAACTGACTTCATTGCCTTTAAGTTGGTCTTATTATTTAGATGCTCTTTGGTTTGTATTCCATTTGCTTCAGTGTGAATTGGACACCAAAGTTAAGTTGTTCAACGCATTTAGGTGTTAATACTTTTGTACTTGGAATCCGGTGGGCAAAAGTTTGTCTGTTTTAGGTTAATGGTGATACTAATGACTAAGAATATGTATTAAAAATGTCAAATGTGATGCTTTTAGGGAGCATCTGGAGAATTCAGTTTGTGATGATAAAGCTGAGGTGTATTTAAATGAATTCTGATCTAAACCAATTTGGGACATCTAGGGTCATGGCTAAAAGTGTTTTGACACCTCTGAATCAGGCCCATTGCTTATATGGAGAAGAGAGTTTTTGTTGGTCTCTCTTAGCTCACCGTTTGGTGCATATCAGATAGCTCACTCCCAAACATTGCCTCATTGCTGATAGTTGGATGCTGTGGGCACACGATTGCTTCTAGTAGGTAATGTGGATATAAGCTCCCCTGTGTTAGGGACAAAGACAAAAGAGATTTAAACCATACTCACCTTATTAACAAATGGAACAGGTGAGACATGACAATTTAGTGTTCTAACTCATCAATCTCTTAACCATGTCCTCGTGAAACTACTTCGTCTCTGGGGCCTCATATAGGGTCTGTGCTGGCCCATGGGGCCATATTGCATTGTGACATTTACTTATCAGCAATTTGTAGCAGTACAGATGAACTCCACAAAGTTGATCATATACATGGCACTGATTTATTGGCTTAAAATTTCAGGGATTGCTTTCTGAAGTTGTGTGATCTTTGTGTTAAACTGCAGTAGAAGAGTTTCTCCATACTCATGCTTGTAAGCCTCACCTAGTAAAGCCTGAGACCACAAAAAAAGAATCTGTTGTCTTGTAACAGTAGCTTTAAACAGGGATCATACTGAGCATGGTCCCTGGAGAAGAAAGGAAGCAAAGATTTTGCCATTATTGCATCCAATTTAATGGTAGTTCTGTGAATTATTTTTTTTCATTATTAAATTACAAGCTTTATGATAATGTGTGAGCTGTAATAGAGGTTTCTGTAGGGTATTTTGTGTGTCTGTAAAACCTATACCAGTGCAGAATGGAACTATTAATCACAAAGAGCTCTGGCAGCAGTACACTTTGTAAGGGCACTTATCCAGAGAGCCTGCTGTGTTTGAGAGTCCTGTATTTCTATAGTAATGCCCCTTATTGAGTTAGCAGAATTTAGGGGAACAATTTGAGAAGTGAAAAACAGCACTGAGGGCAGATTAGCCAATTAGATTTTCATAGGATGAGATTGAGATTGACCCCTCTTTTCATGGGTGCTCAGCATGGAGTAGATTAAAGACAGATTCAAAGTTTATGGCTGTTAAAAGTGATAGATCTCTACCTTTAAAAATGAAAATGAATCTCAAGTTTATTACAGCCAGCCACAATGAATGGGTTAGAGGCTGAGCCTCATAAATTCAAGTTGCAGTTTGTTTTGTTGCTGTAAACACCAAACTAACACCAATGAATGCTGAGGCGTAAGTGCACCTGATTTCACTTGCAACGTTAAGGTTATTGCTATGATGCAGGTTTATTATGATGAACTAGTATGGGAACTAGTTGAATGGGTTTTTTTGTGATGCTCATAATACAATTTGTTGCATCAGAGTATCGAAGAAACACCTGCTTCAACGTAAGAAGTAACTTATAGGGCTTTTTTTGTTGCCGCTCACCATGATCAATGTTTCAATAGTATTTTTTTTAAAAAGTAAAGAAATTTTACAAGGTAAAAGGAATATATTGACAAGATAAATTTGCATTAAGCAATGTTGGGGAAAAGCAAGGCAAGGGTGTGATTGCAGCCAGGTCAATATGTAATGTGTTTTCAAAACAGACTAACAATGCAAAAAGTTGGCTCTTGCTACTGTTCTAAATTCATTCAAACATTAAGATTACCAGGATTTTTTTTTTTGTCAGAGAATTAATGATAGAATGCACTTACTCTATTCTGTGGCTTAGTGTATTACTGAGAGAACTGTAGCTGCTCAGCTTGGTATCTGCAGTTGAGGAGCATTGTATCCTTTCGTGTTGCTTTGATAGACTGTCTTTCTTTGACACAATTTTCAGTGTAGTATTAAGCAACCTTCTTTGTTTTTTCTAGCTCAGCCGGCAGACTTTGGAAGGTATTTTAGTGATTGGTCTTTTTTCTAACTATTTATGTGTATAAAGAGGGACATAAGCATCTCTGTCAAAGCCTATATTTAGGAGTGGCAACTGCTCTCCTAGTACAGTTGTCCCGTAATACTTCACAGGGAATATTACATGTACAACACATCAGTATTAATTTGATAACAATTTGCCATAATGCTACAGGCAGGAACACAAATTAAACGTTCAGATATATGTTCCTGTATGAATTACTTTACTAAAACGGGGTAAGAATAAAATACAGAGTACTGAATGATTGTATGATTTTGATCTCTGGAGGACAGTTTCAAGGTTTTCATGGTATGGAGTAGTGATGAGCTAATACTAATGCTTCTGCAGCATGTGTTTGTCTGTGAAGTGTTTGATCTAACATCTTACTTGTATGGTGCACGTTCAGCTCGCCGCCTACAGCTCAGTCCATGGGAGAGCAGCATTGTTAGCAGGCTCCTGACGCCCACTCACTCGTTCCTGGCCCGAAGTAAAAGCACCGCTGCGCTGTCTGGAGATGCAGGTAAACCCACAGGAACAGAGGCTTCATGTCGCAGACACTTATTTTTCCACATTACCTGTGGGATATTGTAGTTATTGATCTAATTACGAGTATACGGTAGCATGTCAGAATGAGCTTGAATGTCCACGATTACATTGCGTGGCAGCATGAAAGCTTGCTTGTACAGTTGTTTGCTATGCCTCTTTCTCCGTCTCCCACCACCTCTTTCTTAATTTCTTTTGCCTCTTCATCAATGCAGTAAATGAATACAACACACACAGGGCAGCAGCGTCACACTGTCCGTGGCTGTCTAATGAAATACACACAATGTTGTGAAGATCTCATTCCGCACACCCACTGCTAAGGCTGTGAGCTGCTTGCTGCAAAGAATAGTTTCACTCTTTACCAGGGCACTTCCCACATGGAGCAAGTTAGATTTGTAGAATGATAGGCCCTGGTTGCCATGGATTTAATACATGTGAATTTAAATGTGCAGGTTTAGTGAGGTTATAATAATTATAAAGTTCTCTGCCAACCCCAAAACACATCTCTTGATATACTTACTGAGGTGAAAATTAACGTGCAGAAATGTGAAAATATTGCTAGGTGGTAACTTAAAGCCCGGGCAAAATGGTATTCCAAAGACAACGAGGGCATACTTGCTTATCATATATTTTAGGCAGGTGACAGCTGCCTCTTCTTTTATCATAGCATGTTTTATGACCATGCACTGGGGACTTGACCATTACAATAGTATATTGCTGCACATGCTGAATGCTTAAGTCTAGGCAGGTCTTTCTTGTCTGATATGGACAGGATTTTTATTCTAATTAAAGGACACAGAACATAAGAAGGAATAGAGATCTGCTAAGATTACTTTTAAAGAAGCTTTCACTTAAGAACTCTTATAAGTAATTAGACTGCAGTACATTTCCATAGGAGTAGTGCTATAAGAGCGAAAACACAGATGTTATTCTGCAAGCAGTGGAATTGACAAGTACTGAATTCCTTTTAACTCTTCACAAACAACAGCTGGTAAAATGAATAGTTAATGTCATTTACCAAGCAGGATATCTGAAATCCAGCTCTTTTTTTAGAAAAAGCATTGTCTTAGTTTTGTAAGTGCTTACGTCACTGGAGCAAGCATGAAGATTCTTTTTTGTGACTGCTATTGTTGATCTTGTGCAATAAGCTCTAAACTGAGTAGAATTTTGCGAATATTGCAGGCATGACTCACTTGTCAGTTATCAGTCTGAGGTAATTCCCTGAAATGCCTTCCCTATGCTTACTAGAACTGTACCATCCAGAAGAATAATCCATCTGCTTATTGTTTTCCAGGTATTATTCTCTAGGAGCAATAACTGCAGTCACTTCATGCAGGATGCTTCCTGGAGATTAATGATCAGGTGGTGGTAATGGCTCACAGCTGTGCCCTGAGCACTCTGCTCACCCCAGCCTGTCATTATTCCCTAGAAAATTACCCTGCCCTTTGGCTGTAAAGATGAATTATAATGCAAAAAATCAAAATCAAATTAAATATGGATTCATGCCCTTAAATTTTAAGTGTGCTGTTAGGGACGTCCAGCATAAGAGTGTATGTGGCTGATTTTTTTAAATAACTCTCTAAACCCAGGGTGTTTTTTCAATAACTTTCCACAAAGCTCCTCTCAGCAGCTGTAATCCTGTTGATACAGGATTCACTGGGAGTGCTTCCTGAAGTATTGTTTGGCAACATCACAAATGAAAATGAACTGCTTGTCTTCTAATACTATGATATCATCCTTGGTGGTAACTTCAGGTAATCAGAGTGCAGCAAGAGAATTGATTCACAGAATGTAGGAACCACATAAATTATAAGGTGTTTTAAAACACATTGTGCCACTGCCTCCTGTCTGGTTTAGATACAATCAAACAAAAAAAAAAAATCCCCACAAAACAAAAGCCTCTCTTTTCTTGTTTCTTGATTTTATTTATTCTGTCATTTTATGATATCTCATTAAACAGAAATCCCTGTGAATGGTAAAGCAAGTATGAGTGCTATTGCTGTTACACTTACATGAGACTCTCTTTATTCATAGTGTTAGTGTCTCAGTGCAGGAGAATTTGCAGTGTTAGTACTGTTAAGTCTATGAGCTCTTCCCATAACAGCAGCTGTACTGTTGTAAAACTAGAAGAATTAACTGTATGTGGAACTGCATTCTTTCAAGTGTGTTCAGAGAGGGATCTACAGGCAAGAAATGTTGGGAGTGTTTACCAAGGAACCTGAAGATGTAATTCTCTTGCTTCCCCCCCCCCCCCTTTTTTTTAAAAAGGGGTTTTTTTTCCCCCCCCCCCCCCATTTATTTAAAGGGGCATAGGGGAGATACCATATAGATGCTCTGCTTTTCCTTCCAATAACATGCTGAAGGATAATAATGCTAAGAAGATATCAAATGACCAGGAAAGACAAACAGGAGCAGACAAATCTCAGCAGTAACAACATAGTTTTTCCTAGTCTTCTCCTTTAGTTAAATCAAGAGAAAGTCCAAGACTACTTTGCTGCAAGAAGTTCCCCATGATATATTTTGCAATGTTACAATTTTCTTTGAATATGTAATCGGAACACTGTATATCTGATAATCTGTTATTGGCAGGAGATCTTTTGGTAATAGTCTTTCGTCCTTGTGCAAACCAATGAAAACTGCTGTCCTGGTTACTCAAATACTGATTTCCAAGTTGATTTGTTGTTGTTAGCCTGCTTTTTGTATTGTGTAAAATAGTTCATTCTCAAGAATGTGTTTGAGTCAGCTGTTACCCTGGCATTATCAAGGAATATTAAAAGTTCTTAAATGGGTGGGTTTCAGATAGAAACCTTCAAAAAGAAAACACATCACTTGATAAAAATTGTAGACAGCAATTTCGTTGATTTCCTAGGTGAAGCTGTTTTGTATTGTTAATGTGTTTTGATATTTGTGTGTGTCTCCTTTTATTTTCCTCCACTTCCAAGATCAATTAATAGGCATTCTGATTTTAGTTTTATTGTTTTCTATTTCAAATGTAATTGAAACTCATGTCAATGTATATACTAAGCCAGTCAGAGCAGTCATTGTGTCCACTGCTCTTTCACCAGTTGCATAAAAACCTAAGAGAAAACCATCATTACTTTCCACTACTATGTGGCATACTTTTTGATGTATTCAAAATAATTAGTTTCCAAATAGAAAAGTACATGAGTGCCTATAGAAATTGTATCATTACTATATGTGTGGCCAAGCTATTGTATCGAATGATGGTTCTGACTTGAAAATTATTCATTCCTCTATGTATTAATATCTTCTTTCTTTTCTGTCTTTCTCGGTCGTTTCTGTTCCTGCTGGCTTTCCTCTGTCAATTCTCCAATGCTGCTCTGTAATTAAAATTAATAAATAACAAAACCAACCAACACCGTAGTTATCCCCATTTGTCCCCGTTCAGCATCTTGCAGCCCCATCAGTCCTCTGTCCTACAAGGCCATGAACTGTAGGAATCCAGGAGAACGAGCAAAACTTTATGCCTCTACTGATGCTGTCGGATATAGGAGAACAACTCATCTTGCAGGGGTAAGGATGCCACATGTATCTGTCTCATGCCATGACTCTCTGATTGCATTGCTTGTTACAACAGGAATAGTTGCAAAGGTACTTCATGAAGTCTGATCCTTCCCTCTGTGCTGTTCCCACCCCTTCCAATTTGTTTCATAGTTGGCTGGATTTTAAACGAAATATAGTCCATTATGTGGTGATATGGCCTGATTACGCACCAAAGAATCCATGTAGAAAACCACCTGTGTTTGCAGAGTGGATGCCTTAGCTTCTCATGAGACACAGAGGCAGTCACAAGTGTGTGTGCCCTTTTCTCAAGTGGATTCTTTGCTGCCTTTTAAGGCCCAAACTGGTGTTGCAGCATTTCCCTCAGTGTCACCTGTTTTTCCCAGCAACCTGTTTGCACAAAGCATGTAGAATTTCCTATCTTCTCCTAGCAAATTCAGCTGAGCCTCTGGGATAAAGAGGGGAGAAGGCATGCACTGATATGGCTATATAACATAAGCACATATAGCACTATCACTTTAGCTTTACTTTCTTAGGAAACTAGGCTAGTAAAGTTTTCCTCATTGAGAAGGAAGAGGTTGGTTTGTAAGCAAGGCAGTACTGTGACTGATGTGTGCTTTCAGGGAAAGTCAAAACAGTGTGATACGGGAAGACCAAATACATGTTGACTGTGCTCCAAGCCAACAAGATGCAGTCATCTCCAGTTCATTTGCAGAACCTGAGCAGTTGTGTTTTTCCTTGTACTCTATGGCTTAAGTTTGTTTAGAGTGTGAGAAGAGTGAAGTCATCTCTGCAAATGATTAAGAGGTGCTTGTGTTTTCATTTGGCCTGATGGGCAAAATGTGAAGGGGCAGTGCTGCTATTAACATCCTTGGGAAGCAGTGTTAGTGAAAGTCACATGAATCATAGCCAGTACTTAGTCTTCCAGGCAGATGGTATTGTATTGAAGTTTTAAATTAAGGCCTAGCATCGGGAGGTATCTGTAGAGGAATCTCATAGTATGCAGGCAATGCATATAGCACATTGCAATCTCCACAGCCATCAGTTTAACACCTCTTGGCTCTTTCTCTTTGCAAGTGGTTTGAGTTTGGGGGGGAGGTGGGGGGTGTTGTGTGGTGAGGGTTTTTTGCTTTGTCTTGTAGGGGTTTTTTTGTTGTTTTTTTTGTTTTGTTTTCTTTTTAAAGAAGAAATGTTGGTACATTTACGTGGAGGATGCGTTGTAAAAATGTTAATACAAAGGGACTGAGTTAAGTTCTGTTTTCAGTATCCTGTATGGTGTGAGAATCTTTTATTCTTCTGTAAACTTTCGTAGAAATTCAGGTTTTTACTTTATTGATGTTAAGAAAAAATTGCTGGTGCTCTGTTTTTGAGACTAATGAAGTGGATCCAATATAGAGAATTGTTGCTAGTGAGCCAGAATTCTTGTTCATTTTAATGCATTTGTTCCGGTTATGTATGCTTTGATAGCTCAAATGATTATCATATTAATCAGTAGATATCTGGTAAATTGTACTGCCAAAGAGCTGGCTTAAGTAATGAATTCAGGATTGAGACCATCTATTGCTAACGCTATTGTGTTTTTGGCAACTTTAATTGTAAACATAATGATCAAAAAAACCCTCTTGGATTGGGGAATGTAAACCAAGCATGCATGTGCTCATGAAGCTCTTTTCAGTCCTTCTTTTCCAGTTGGTTTTCAGTTCAGGAGATGAGCATGACAGAGCTCTCAGCTAGTTAGGCTCTAAAGCAGCGTGGTGCACATGCTACAGGGGTTGTGCTTAAGGCCCAGCCAAGATGGTGGCCAGCAGCCCCTCTGCATCATGTTGGCTGATCCACAGCTCAGTGACCTCTCCAGTATTCTTACTCTTCTTCTCGCTCCTGGAGTCTCCAAGAAACCAAAAACCTCAAGCTTTTCATCTATAGTTAGAATAGAGAAAGTATATAGATGCCTAAATTCTGATATATTACTTTAAACCAGTAGTTCTATTAATATAAACCAGAGCTATAACAGAAATATAT